CGACAGGGAGGAGAACTGTTTACTAACAGTCCTCCTCCCTGTCAGCTCGGGCACACTGCTCTGGATGGCTGTGCACAGCAGAGCCATCCAGAGCAGTGTGATTACAGTGAATTACACACACACCGTCCCCTAGTAAAATACTCCCAGCACACAGTTAAGCCTTTGATCGCCTCTCATGTTAACCCCTTCCTGCCCAGTGCCATTAGTACAGTCAGTGCTTTTTTTTTTTTTTTCACTGATCAATGTATTGGTGTCACTGGGGATGTCAGCGACACCAAGTCAGTTCCCCCCAGTGTCAGAATGTCTGCCGCAGTCCCGCTATAAGTCTCTGATAGCCGCCATTACTAGTATAAATAAAAATAAAAAATCCCAGTATATATACTGCCATTTGTAAACGCTAAAAATTTCATGTCAACCAATTAATTTATACATATTGGGATTTTTTTTTAGCAAAGACATGTAGCAGAATACATTTTGGCCTAAATTTTATGACGAAATTAGATTTTTAAAATTTTTTACTGGACATCAAAATTGTCAGCCTTTTTTATAGCGCAAAAAATAAAAACTGCACAGGCGATCAAATACCACCGAAAGAAAGCTGAATTTGTGGGAAAAAAAAAAAGACGTAAATTTCAACTGGGGGCAGCTTTGCATGATCGCGCAATTATCAGGTTAAAGTAAAGCAGCGCTGTAAAGCAAAAAATGACCTGGTCAGGAAGGGGGTATTATCCTCAGGAGGGCAAGTGGTGTGCATCCAGTGCGGTTTTAATGCATTCCAGTGCTTTTTTGATGCATTTTACCACGTTCCAGTGCAGTTCTGTGCAGAAAAAATGCAGCATGTTCTACATTTTTTTCTGCAACCGGAACGCACTGGAACTACAAGCACTGATGTGAACTATGACATTGACATCCATATAACCTACTTTCTGTGCGTTTTTGTTGCAGAAAATAAGCAACTGAAATGAATGTAGTATGAACTGGCCCTTAAGCATTTTCTAATGTCAAATTTGCAATGAAGTCACATCCAGTATATTCAGTGTAGCTTTGTTCCCTCCCCCCATCCCCAGAGTGCACATGCGTTGTTTTTTTTTCTTTTTGCTACAGATTTAAAACGCAGCAAAAACGCACTACATGTTTTTCTGCAGCATTTTCATTGAAGTCTATAGAATTAAAAATGCAACTTTTTGCGTTTAAAAAAGTCCCTGACTCCAGGTGTGAACCTAGCGTAAATTGGCCCTAGTATATATATGCAGGGCTCACAAGTTCAAGTCCTGAGCTACTAGCCAGGACTTAAGAGTTGCTCGCCACCAGTTGCCCCACCCAACCCCTTGTAAATTATCTCATGAAGTTGCACTGTTAAATGTTTTATGCAGAATGAAGGAAGGGAAGGAAGTAAGAAAGGAAATAGCAGGAAGGAAGGGAGAGGTGGAAGGAAGGGAGACAGAGAGAGAGGGATGGAAGGATGGGAGGGAAGAAGAGAGGGGTGGAAGGAATGGAGTGGAAGGAAGGGAGGGAAAGAAGTGTGGGAGGTGTGGAAGGAAGGGGTAGAAGGAAGGGTGGAAGGGGGTGAGAGGGAGGGTGGAAGGAAGGAAAGGTGGGATGGGTGAGAGGGAGGGTGGAAGGAAGGAAAGGTGGGAGGGGTGAGAGGGAGGGTGGAAGGGGTGAGAGGGGGGTGGAAGGAAGGGAAAGGTGGGAGGGGTGAGAGGGAGGGTGGAAGGAAGGGTGGGAGGGGTGAAAGGGAGGGAGACAGAGAGAGAGGGGTGGAAGGATGGGAGGGAAGAAGAGAGGGGTGGAAGGAATGGAGGAGTGGAAGGGAGGGAAGGAAGTGTGGAAGGAAGAAGGGGTGGGAGTGGTGAGAGGGCGGGGTGAAAGGGGGTGGAAGGGTGAGAGGGAGGGTGGAAGGAAGGAAAGGTGGGAGGGGTGAGAGGGAGGGTGGAAGGAAGAAAGGGTGGGAGGGGTGAGAGGGAGGGTGGGGGGAGTGAAAGGAAGAGAGGGCGGAGAGGGAGGGAAGGGTACAAAGGAAGGGAGGGGTGGAAGGAAGGAAGGAAGGAAGGAAGGAAGGGAGGTGTGGAAAGAAGGGAGGTGTAGAAGGAAGTTTGGAAGGAATGGAGGGAGGTGAGGGAAGGAAGGAAGGCAGGGAGGGAGAGAGGGGTGGTGGAAGGAAGGAAGGAAGTGGTGGGAAGAGAGAGAGGGGTGGATGGGGAGATGGAAAGAAAGGAGGGAGGGAAGCAAGGGTGGGAGGGGTGGAAGGAAGGGAGGGGGATGAGGGAGGGGGTGGATTGAAGAGAGGGAGGAGTGGGAGGGATGGAAGGAAGGCAGGCAGGAAGGTGTGGGAAGGGAGGGTGGGAGGGGAGGAAGGGAGAGAGGGATGGGTAAAAAGAAAGGGAGGGGGTGGACGGAAGGAAGGGTGGAAGGAAGGGAGGGAGGTGTGGGAAGGAAGAGTGGGGTGGAAAGAAGGGAGGGAGGGGTGAAGGAAAGGAGGGAGGGGTGAAAGGAAGGAAGGGAGGGAGAGGTGGGTTTATATATGTAAAGTTTTGTGTAAATTGACGGCGCTACGTATATAAGTACCTGTAATAAGTAAAATAAATAAATATAGCATTTTGATTCAATCAGGAAGACAGATCAAGCACATGTTCCAACTTCTAACAACTCCAAATTGATAAGTGTAATAATACCCCTAGACCAAGGGCGGACTGACAACTCATGGGGCCCCCAGGCAATAGGGGATCATGGGACCCCTGTGTCCTTGCCCAAACTCAAAAAAGCCTATGAAAAAGGTACCAGGGGCATCTCATGGGGCCCCCTACGGACCCCGAGTTTCCAAATGGTCAGTCCGCCCCTGCACAGAACTAGTTTCAGCAACAGAAAATAGGAGTCTCAGTTTCTGACAAAGCTGTCCTGTAGCCAAGGGTACCCCAAGGAATTTTTTTTGTTGCTGTGCATAAAAAAAAAGCAATACGTAGTGAAAAAAAGCTGTAAAAATGCACTACATGCGTTTCAGCAGCTTCTCCATTGAACTCTATTGTAACAAAAATGCTTTTTGCATTTAAAAAAGTCCCTGACCCTTTCCAAAAACGCAGCAGCTCAAAAAAAGCAGAGATGTGAACATGTTCCATAGGAAACCATGTTAAATGGACTGCAGTGCGTTTCTGCAAAAAGCACTAAAAAACGCATTGGTGTGAACCAGGGCTTAGTTCCACTTTAGGAACTGTAAATGAAAGCCATCTGACCTGCAGCCCCTATTAAGAATCAATGTTTTTTTCATCTCCTATAAGTGGCAGACAACTGGGTGATGCCATTCAGGAAAGTAGTCAAGGTGAGATGGCGGAACCTGGCGGGCTGCATGTCTGCTATTTGCAACAAACATTTCCACAGACTCACTGTGTTCTGTACCACCTCTATGTTTTGTATTTTTCTGTTGTTGACTGTATGAAGTTACTATTTTTAGATTGTATGCTGACATCTAATGGTGGTTTTGAACAACTACAACTTGTTTCCTTATGTGATTTGGTATCAACCTCTATCCTCCCCTTCTGTTTAGTGCTAGTTAGTTCAGTGCTAGCTAGACCCTCCCTGTTTTTTTACATGTTCCCTCAGTCAGGGTTAGTGCTTTGCAGAAACAGGGCTTAGGAAATTGGTAGTTTTTACACTTCAATAGACTGGAAAACATCCTCTCTGTTGCAGTTACCTGAAGTAAAATTGCATTAGATTCAACTTCTGTGTCTTATTGAGGAGTTAATGAGTGAAACACACCGAACAGCTCTGAATACTTGGAAGGTAGCAAACGACTTCAGCTACAGCTCCTCCTGATAGGCCAGGCTACTGATGCATTTCGCCCTGCCCGGGGCTTAGAGGTGAAGAGTTAAGCTGCCTGTGGATGGTTCCGAGCCGGCAAGTGACCATACTGTCTGGACAGACTGGCGCTAAGGTGGTATGTCAAAGCATGAAGCAGCATTTGAACAGAACGCAATGTAACAGACAGTTAACATGATGTACGCATTATTGTTGTAGAAGTAAATACCCTGCTGGATAAATGTGTTGTTGTACGTCTGTGATCCTGAATTGTATCCTTCTGCTGGAGCCTCCGATTATTCAATGGACAGCAAACGCTTTGTACGTATCACTGTTCTGAATGTGATTACCAGCATGCTGGACAATATCTACCTTCTGCTCTGATTAACATTTGCTGACACTTACAATTTTTTTATGAATTTTCCCAGTGATGGCCAACCTGCATCTATGACAGTTTCAGTAATACCACAGAATGGACGAAAAGATAAATGTGACATGTAGGCAGCGGTCATCATTACTTTATCTCCCTTTGTTTTTTGTTAGGCAGAGCTTTTCTCCTCCCTTGCCATGGTTGCTATCCTGTCCTGCGGCATCCAGAGAAGAATGCCATTGGCAGCATTGTGGAGCCCCGTGTACACAGAACCAGAGGAGCACACGTGATGGACTATACAAGAGCTGAGCTAGGGAAAATGTGACTAGCGGGCTCTGATTGGCTAACTGGGAGTTTTTTCCAGGGGTGATGATGAGGGCGCCGATTGGCTGTGCTGGGATTAATGAGGCTGAGGAGGTTGCCATGGTGACAGTAGTGAATAGTAAGCACAGCGTTCCCTAGTAACTCCTCGGCAGGACTTATGATAGGTCCCCCGGAAGGAAGGATGGGGTGTCCGTGCGGTTCATAGGATCCCTGCCACATCCAGATCGAACGTTTCTTTTAACCCTTTCCTGCAGACGCCACACTACATAAACAGCCATGGGCAGGCAGAAACCCAGCAAATACTGTTATATAATACAGCCCCTCCCCCATCTGTCCGTAGAGCTTTCCGGAAATTGTTTCCATATGTGTTCATCACAATGTACTCATTGTAACAACTGCACACTGTCCTATATCTGTCATTTACCTGTCAATGGAAGACTTAGCCAACTTATTCAGGGCTGATACACATCTGTATGCAGCAGGAATGACAACGGACGTTAAATGCCTTGATACATTGCGGTGACATTCATTTTGATGAGTACCCCGATGTTATGGGTTGCAGTGCATGGCACCAGGGGCGGACTGACCATTTGGGAACTCGGGCACTGCCCGAGGGCCCAGGGTTAGTAGGGGGCCCCATGAGATGCCCCTGGTACCTTTTTCATAGGCTTTTTTTGAGTTTGGGAAGGACACAGGGGCCCCATGATCCCCTATTGCACGGGGGGCCCCATGAGTTGTCAGTTCGCCCCTGCATGGCACCATACCATTTTGTGACTTGTCTGATTTCCGGGACATTTAGGGTCCTTTCACCCATTTAGCGGATCCACTTGCTCAGCGGGGGATCTCTCCGCTGATCCCCGCCGTGCAAGCGGATGACAGGTCTGTGTCCGCTCCGCTGCTGCAGATCAGACACAGAGCTGCCCGCGCTCCTCAATGGTCGGTCGGATAAAAACAGACCACCTGTCCATTTTCATTCGAACTGATCCAATGGACAGAAGGGGAATTGGATCCCCATCCGTCCCTTTTTGGCAGATTGGATTAGATGTCAACGGATGTAAACCATTTATACCCGCAAATCTATAGAGGAGAATGGAGGTTTCCGATCAGGTCCACCTAAAAAACGGGCAGGCGAACCCAATTTGAAGGTTTGTGTGAAAGAGCCCTTAAGGGTCCTTTCAGACGGGATGGACCTGCTCAGCGGATCCTCTTGCTCTGCGGGGGATCTCTCGATGAGCAAGCAGATGACAGCTCTGTGTCTGCTCCACTGTTGCAGAGCAGAAATAAAGCTGCTCGCTCTCCTCAATGGGCGGTCAGATGAAAACGGACCGCCTGCCCATTTTTACCTGATCCAATACGACGGACGGAAGGGGAATTGGATCCCCATCTGTCCCTTTTTGGCAGATCGAATCGGATGTCGGCGGGTGTAAACGGACACATGTCCATTTATACCCGTCGCTCCATAGAGGAGAATGCAGATTCCGATCGGGTCCACCTGAAAAATGGGCAGGCGGACCCGATCGGAACGTCCGTGTGAAAGAGCCCTTTAGGTTCCTTTCACATAGGTGTTCCATTTTTTTTCATCAGTTCAGTCACATTTTTTCCAAGGAAAATCAGTTCACATCAGTTTTTCATCAGTTTACATCCGTCTTTTCATCCGTTTTTCATCAGTTTACATCCGTCTTTTCATCCGTTTTTCATCAATTTACATCCGTCTTTTCATCCTTTTTTCATCAGTTTACATCCATCTTTTCATCCTTTTTTCATCAGTTTACATTTGTCTTTTCATCCATTTTTCATCAGTTTACATCGGTTTTCTTACATCCCTTATCAATGCAAAAATAGACCGTTCATCAGTTTACATCCGTTTACATCTGTTTTTATCCATTTACATCCATTTTTTGTCCATTCCATTTTTTTTTTACAGAAGAAAAATAGGGATTTCTTCTGTTCAAAAAAACCGGATGTTAACCACTTCCCGTCTGACCTCTAACAGATATACTGCTACAGGGCGGCACGGGTGCGCAAAATCATGTATATATGCATGATTTTGCAGTTCTAGGTAGGGGGCGCATGCGCGCATCCAGCACCGCCATTCGCAGCCGCGGCTGTCAATCACTAGGACCCGGCCGGTAATTATTTGCTGGCGCATGGTGATTTCTGACGATCACCGACAGGGAAGGAAGACTGCTTTGTTTACAAACAGTCCTCCTCCCTGCCGGCTCAGGCACACTGCTCTGGATGGCTGTCACAGTACAGCCATCCAGAGCAGTGCGCTTACAGTGAAGCACCAACTCACTGCCCCCTAGTAAAACACTCCCTGCACATAGTTAACCCTTTGATCTCCCCTCATGTTATTCCCTTCCTGCCCAGTTCCATTAATACAGTGTCAGTGCTTTTTTTTTTAGCACTGATCACTGTATTGGTGTCACTGGGGATGTCAGTTCCCTCCAGTGTCAGAATGTCCGCCGAAGTCCTGCAGTCCCTCTATAAGTTGCTGATCATCGCCATTACTAGTTGAAAAAAAATGAGAAAAAAAAATTCCACTGTTTATACCGCCATTTGTAAATGCTATAACTTTTATGTAAACCAATTAATTTACATGTATTGGGATTTTTTTTTAGCAAAGACATGTACAAGAATACATTTTGGCCTAAATTTATGACGAAATTTGATTTTTTACATTTTATTACTGAACAAAAGTAAAAAATGTTTTTTTTTCTCAAAATTGTCGACCTTTTCTTTTTATAGCGTAAAAAATAAGAACCGTACGGGCGATCAAATACCACCAAAAGAAAGCTCAATTTGTGGGAAAAAAGGACGTAAATTTCATTTGGGTGCAGCATTGCATGACCGTGCAATTGTCAAAGTAACGCAGTGCCGTATCGCAAAAAATGGCCTGGTCAGGAAGGGGGGTAAATTCTCAGTAGGGCAAGTGGTTAACAGATGCGGACATTAACGGATGTAAACAGACGATCATCTGTTTACATCCGCTAGTCCATAGAAATACATGAGTGTCCGTGTTTCATCTGTAAAGGGACAGATGAGAAACGGACATACGGAACGCCCATGTGAAAGAGGCCTTAGTGCATTGGAAGCCCATTGATTTCAATGGACTGCCCTAATGCAATGCATGTCAAAGCATGACCTACCACATGTTAACGCATATGCATTGACTCACAAATAGAAATGGGCAGTTTTGAAGTAAAAGGAAACCTAACAAGTGCAGAATGTTGGGGAACTTGACACCAATTAGTAAAGTTTTGTTTTTGTGGAAGTGGGGGATTTAAATTAAAGAGCTCTAACTAAACTTGAGTTTTAGGTTCCATTTGGAGTTCTATCAAAATTGTTTGGCTTTAGATTATTTCCTGTCCAATCCTTAACTTTGTATTGTTTAAAAGATCAAGATGCCTCATCTTGAAGATGTTTTCATGCTATCACTCTAAAGTCCCTAACCCACATTCATATGGTGGGGCCAATTTACCAACTAGCATGTCTTTGGAGTGTGGTACAGATAGAACATGCAAACTGCAGGCAGATGGTGCCATGGCTGGGATTTGAACCAATGACCCTTGTGCTACCAGACAGAAGTGCTAACCATTTAGCCACTGTGCTGCCCATTCTTTGTCATCCAACTTTTCTGTATATCAGTAAGTAGCCTAAACCCAGCCTAGCATAGATCAGGGCTTGACAAATTTGCTTTGAATCTAGAAGCCAAACTTCAGTACCCTATATTTTTTATAGGCAATGCTTTAAAAGCCCCTTTATAGGTCATCGGTTTAGCATTACGGAGGAGGTCTGGTGCTAGAATGATTGTTCTCATTCCGGCATGCGCAGCGATATGTTACATTTTTATCCCACCCCAATGCATGCTTTTACATATGTACGTGCATATATATGGGGGTGGACTCCAATTTTTTTTTTTTTGGGGGGGGGGGGGGGGCATGTGCTTGGGAGTAATTTTATTTTTTTACAAGTAAAAAAAATTTTTTTTACTTAACTTTTTTTAATCACAAATGTGATCATTTGTTGGTGACAGGTTCTCTTTAATGAGACTCTTTAATGCAGAGTCTAAAAGCATGTTGCCCCTGTGCAATGTATGTACTAATGTAATGCAATGTGGATCGTATTTTATTTAATTCTTTTATTTTCTATTCTTTTTTGTTGTTTTACTCTACTCTACTCTTTCTATTCTATTCTATTTTTTTTTTATTCTATGCCTTTTCTGTACTATTTTATTTCATTTTTTTATTTTCTATTCTGTTCTGTTCTATTTCATTCTGTTCTTTTTTACTGTATTCTTTTCTATTCTGTTTTGTTCCATTCTAATTCTAAATATTTTCGAAATTCAAATTTTGGAAGAGGGCTATATTCTGTTTTATTCTTTTTATTCTATTCTGTTCTGTTTTACTCTACTCTTTCTGTTCTATTCTATTCTATTCTGTTTTACTCTGTTCCTTTCTATTCTATTCTGTTTTGTTTTGTTCTATTCTTTTCGAAAATCAATTTTTGGAAGATGGCTATATTCTATTGTATTCTATTCACATCTATTCTATTCTTTTATTTTGTATTCTATTCTTTAATATTCTATTGCATTATATTTTATTCTATTGTTTTCTAAATTTCTGAAGACGGCTATATTCTAACACTAATACACATAGTCTTTGAAGGAAAGCAATAGCCAGCAATGTGTTTAAATTTGTTTTCAAATTCTATTTTATTTTCAAATTTGTTTTGAATTCGATTTGAATTTTGGATGTAGTTTCGTACCATTATTTCGGCTTTGTTTAATTTTGTTACTATTGTAGTTTGGAAATTGGGATACATCTGAATCTCTGAATAATGAAAATTTAATCTGAATTTTAATTCGGAACAAAACGAACCACACATGTCTAGAGGTGAGATTGAGGACGTTTCCTACAGCAGGCTGATGACTTCTTTACAGTCCGCACTGGACTTTACCAATGCCGGTTTTCAATGATGTATGACAGAGCTTATTTGAAAATGTTCCTGCTGCTGTGCACTGTATATACATGTCAGAAAGGAACTCTTTCATGTAGACTTGTAAAGTTACCAAGAAGGCCACTTTACAATTTTTTTTTTTTTTAACGTCACTGAATACTTACACACTGACTTTTCAACTGCAAAAGGAAACTTATTGATGCTGTGCTCCCCAAGAAGGCCACTTTAAAGTGATTGTAAACCTCAGACATAAAGGATGAACAAAGCATATCCCTCTATAGTGTGTACTTGCCTCAACCCAGAGCACTAAGTGTCATTTCTGCCTTCTCTCTTATTCCTCTGCTATTTGCATGAGTCACCTCTGACATGTTCTTCTGACACCAAGAGAAAAAAGGTGATAGGGAAGGGACCTCCAGCACACAGCCTGCAATTGACAGCCTCAGCTCTGTTCCTGTGTGTTGTGTGGAGGGGGTGTGTCCCTTCCATCCAATGAGCTTTCAGAGCTCTACTCACTGAGCTCTGTTGTTTGTAATTTCAGCTTCCCGCTTCCTGTTTTCTGCCAGCTCAGACAAGCTGTATAAATTCTGGACTTTGAATGCCTGTAGAGAAGAGATGGCTTCAGATAAAGAGGTACAACGTAAGTAGGAGGATTTGTTTGATCTCTGTGTATCACCCAAGGCCAGTCACTTCACTGGGT